ATTATACACTAGTCGGTGTCGGGTTTTTATTTGCATATTTGGGTCTAGGAATAGATTTGAGTAATTTTGTTTTACTTAAAAATCATAAAAATTTATTGGAATTGCATTCACTCTATAATCAATCTATTGGTATATAAATGTGTATTTGGGTAGTGATTTATTTTTGAAAATTTTAATTAGTAATTTTGGGTAAAATTTTCCAATAATTATCACTGGGAATTCGCGTGTTGCATAACCACGTGAAAAACCACGAGACTCGAGACTTTCCGGAATTAATATTCATCGATCCATGCTTCCGATGAATTATAGACTTAAGGGTGCATCTTACGCGTCATGGACCCGCTGCATCTCACCCACGAATCACTCGGTGGAATTTCAATCGATTATTTATTCACGTAACGCCATGATATTCACATGGAAAAAGAACCTGAAGAAGAGCTTCAATAATTACTATGTACCTGTAATATGCATTCCTGTACGTAAGTCATATATACTGCACAAAAATATAAAGCTTGGTAATCAAGTGTGCAGAGGTGTATTTTATAAAATTTTTTTCGCAGGATGCACAAAAAGCTAATATCTCCTATATTGTCCTAGTTGAAAAATTCCTTGTTTACCAAAACAATATGAAAAAGTTTATTCAATATTGGATATACGTAAGTATACATATATCGCATGAAAATTAGAGTTGAAATGATCAAAGTGCACGAGCAATATAGATTCTCATAAATGTCAGCATTTCCATGGAACTGAAACCACTTCCATCTTCTCATCTGCGATACATTGTATCGAATGACGCAGCTAATTAGGATGAATTAATACTGCAAACAGTAATTTCTACATGGCAACCGGGTAAACCATTCGAGTTAGACGGTTGGACGTATTACGACCCAGTACTTCCTCCTGGAGCGCGTCGACGTCGTTCCATTCAGCCCGTAGTAGAGCCAACAAGCGAGCGCCCTAATTGCCAAGGCGAATGATAATTGTTTTATGAAATTTAAAATTAATTCCATAGGCAAGTCGGCTAGACATAATGAAAATAACGAGAGAAATTCAGATGCCCCATAGTCAGCTTGGAAAATCGAGATCTTGTAGAAATAGCTAAAAAAAATTTCCCAAAAAAAGATTAGATAAAACTCAAAGATACAAGTAATAATTAACCCAACAAGACCTGATTATACCAATCAAAGTATAAAATCCAGACGATTACTATAACGTCTGGTATCCAGTAAATCGTCTTCTCTCAAAGCAGCATAAAGCGAACCGTACAATAGGTACCATAGGAGCGAAGGTAATGCCGTGAGGATCTAGTGAATTTCGGTTGGTTAGGGTCTAGACAATGATCTGCTTTGCCTCGCGTAATGGAAGACAAACAGGTTCGTCCCCTTATCCACTCTGAGCTTTCGAGATCCCGACGATCCAGGCCTGCGCCGCCACAACACTCGCTGTCTTCGGCAGGAAGACATCGGGGACCCAGAGTCAGCGACAGCATTGTCCCGTTAAGGGCATTACCCTAGGAAGTTGACGTAAGGATGAGCTCATCGTAAAGACAGTCCCCATTGTCATGCAGCGCAGCATAGCAGTGTGGCAATTCCAAACACTGTTACCAAAAAGCGGTTCAGGTTCCACGGGACCGGTGCGGGCCTTTGTAAATTCGCGTGCCAGAAACCACTAGTAAACCATAACCTCTTAGGGCATTGACGTGATGCGAAGAGGTAGATGGTCTACGCCCTACTGCCAGCGGACTCCGCCCTCTCTACTCATCATTCTCATGTGCTAATTATTGGGCCCGCCATACCGCGGCTAATTTACAGACTGTAACGGAGAAGATATAGCTAAAGAGTATATCGTCGCTGGTGCTAATCTGATGGTTCTTTTTATCTTGGGTTGCGTCATGATACGTTAGCCGCGCAGAGGGTACACAGTACCTTTGGTTCTATCGGATAATAAATGCAGTAGGGTTTACGGAGCTTTTCAATTGGATTGCCCGTGAAGGTATGCGAGGAGAATGGAAACTTTTTATAGGGGATATAACGAGTAGTGTATCGGTAGGCATGCACAGTCAATGTATGGGCTGGATGAAATACATCCGGATGTCAATGCATTGGATACAGTCAGACAGTCCAGGTGGTTTGGTATCTACCTGGATAGGGGCTGATACGTGTATAGATGGATGCATCTGTACAAATGCACTGTATATTTCTGATCCGTTATAGTGGGCGTGATGGGAAAAGTTGGGGCACACGTGTGAACACGCGTCAATATGCCGTTATCCAATTAAAAAGCTGCCTTTGTGCAAGCCGACCTGTCGCAGCCAACCCCGTCGACCTTCTACCCCTCCAATCGAAATCAACCCCTCGCACGCAAAAGGCTGCTTCCAATTAGTAGAACTTCTGCTGAATTGGCCGACGTCGAGCCAGCGGCCAGGATATGCTCGATGGCTTAGTGTACTGTATTACTCGGTATGACTTGAAGTCGACACTACCTCGTGATTACGTGATTCGAAAGTCCCATATTTTTATTTAAGGAAATCACACCTTTAGGACTGATATTTAATTCTTCTTGGGTGACATCAGGGATATTGAGAATAAGCACAGAGTTGAGGGTGGGTCGTACCAGCCTGGGGGGTGGATGCGAGAATCGCGTGTTCGCGGAACAAAAAAAGATTATTTTCATATGATAGATAATGTACAATGGCGTGTCCGTGCGATTCGTTGTGAATAAAAAAATATATGTAATAGCATATTCATGGGGGTTGGGATTTTTTGGTAAACCGTCTGGCGGCCGTACTTCATACTAGTGCCACCTGTAAATCTAATAGCGTGCGTCGAAGCTCCTGCACGTGATCGTATTTTACACGGTACTGGAAATAGTACCGAGCGCAGACACCAGAGGGTAGTTTAGACAGATAAAGGAACATACGAACAGATTATACTATAAAGTCAGTGACAAGTATATCCATTCGAAACAATGCTATAGTAAAGATTTTCGAAATATTTGACCGATCAATTATTTTGTTGACCCTACCACCCCCTCGATAATCACTTTAACTAGCAATATCAAATTGAGGATGGCCTATTGACGAGACATCTCGTTCCCAGCGAAGTTTTGCTCTTCTCCCAGTTTCGCTGAAGATCCGAATTTACACGTTCGTGGAGCGAGAGATCAAATTGTTAAGCCT